CGGGCGCTCGCAGTGAGTGTGCGAGCGCGACAGCAACATAATTACGCGCGAGCGATAGGGATGGGTAGCGTGGGGTCATTGGCCGGGATTCTACGTGCTCACGGACCAGGCTTTAGCATGTAACGTAACCAACCTTCAAGTAAGTACCAGAGTAAATACAAATGAGTAGGTCATCTTCATAGAAACGCACGGGCGCGGTTTGTAAGTGAGCGCGCCAACATGTATGCGGCGCGCACGCACACACTGACACTACGTATATTAGCGCGCTCACATACAAACCGCGCTCGGTGCGTTTCTACGTAGATGACCTACTCATTTGTATTTACTCTGGCGCTACTGAGGCGCCACCCCGCGCCGCCGCCCGCCAACTTCACCGCCTTCCTCAAGGCGGCCGCGCAGCAGGTGAGACGCGACTGTGGACGCTATATCAACGGCGCAGGGCTCATGTTACTGTGACGTCGGTAGCGAGGCGGCCGCGCAGCAGGTGAGACGCGACTGTGGACGCTATATCAACGGCGCAGGGCTCATGTTGCCGTGACATCGGTAGCGAGAGCTCGCGGCAGGTCCCGCAGGGCGCGCTACTGAGGCGCCTTCCTCAAGGCGGCCGCGCAGCAGGTGAGACGCGACAGTGACGCGAAGGCAGGGTAGCACGTAACGTAGCATGTGACGTAAAACCAACCTTCAAGTAAGTGTGCGCTACTGAGGCGCCTTCCTCAAGGCGGCCGCGCAGCAGGTGAGACGCGACAGTGACGCGAAGGCAGGGTAGCACGTAACGTAGCATGTAACGTAAAACCAACCTTCAAGTAAGTACGCGCTACTGAGGCGCCTTTCTCAAGGCGGCCGCGCAGCAGGTGAGCACGCGACTGTGGACCCTATATCAATGGCGCAGGGTTCATGTTGCCGTGACATCGGTAGCGAGAGCTCGCGGCCCTGTTGAAGACGACTAGACATCAAAGTTATGGGTGAGATGTAAGATAAAAGATTTGAGTTAAAATATTTTAAAATTTGGAAAACCTAACAGCAGGTTGGAAAAAATAACGTTTTTTTATTTTAATAAAAAAATCAGATATTGATTTTAAATTAGTGATTTTTATTTAAAAAATCATGCAATAAAAATCGTGATTTAAATCAACTTGATTGAAATCATGTAACCCTGCCTAACAGAAGTTTTTGAGTTTATGTAGCAGGATTAAAGCGATATCCAGCTATGGCAGCTGGTTTCCTTATACAGCCTTTATGACAGTCCACCACAACCACACATAAAGTTCAGTCGCCTTCGTGAATTGTAACAACTAATCGTAAAGGCTGCAGGCGAAATAATCTTTTGCCCTCCGATAAGATTGGGTCTAACCTAGCCTTCTTTAAATTATTTAATACTTACCATTTTACCTCCACAGGGCTTCGAAATAGACGTATCCACCAACAAGTCCTTCTCCGCGTCCCTCGACAAAGCGCAAGTGCCGGGCCGGCCATTCTTCAACACGCTCCTGCGCATCATGGCGACCCGTTGCATGCAGCAAGCAGTGTATTTCTCAAGCGGGACGCGCGCTCACGATGAGTTCTACCACTACGGGCTGGCCTGTCCCATCTATACGCACTTTACATCACCTATCAGACGGTCAGTGGTGCATAAGATTTTAAACTTTCGCGTTCCATTTCGACTTAAATAGAAAGACACGGGTCTTAACGCGACATTTGTTAATGAGTTACGTAAAGCTTAGTGTAGGCGCACACTGGGCGACACGTGACAGCGACAGCTCGGCGACTTGACGCCTATTCTTGACAATTTCATCCCAACTAATATTATAAATGCGAAAGTAACTCTGTCTGTCTGTCTGTCTGTCTGTCTGTCTGTTACGCTTTCCCGCTTAAACCTCGCAACAGATTTTGATGAAATTTGGCATAGAGATAGTTTGAGTCCCGGGAAAGAACATAGGATAGTTTTTATCCCGGTTTTTGAAACAGGGACGCGCGCGATAAAGTTTTTCTGTGACAGACAAAATTCCACGCGGGCGAAGCCGCGGGCGGAAAGCTAGTATTATTATATTAACTTCTCGTCGAGATTCCGCGTCTCTGTCGTCAAGTCGTGAAGCTTTGAACAAAACATTCTTCAACACACTCCTGCGCATCATGGCGACACGCTGCATGCAGCAAGCGGTGTACTTCTCAAGCGGGACGCGCGCTCACGACGAGTTCTACCACTACGGGCTGGCCTGTCCCATCTATACGCACTTTACATCACCTATCAGACGGTCAGTGGTGCATAAAGCCATGTATTCATTAGGCAACATTTGTTGATAAACTGTTTATGACTAGTGTGAAAAAAGTTTACCACAAACACAGGTTTCTGAAACTTGGCCGTCCACACTTGCTCTCCACTCATAGCGGGGAGCACGTCAACATGTATCATAAACAATGTTTCATCACCTATGTTTATGGACTGTTTATAAACTGTTTACAGAGATGATGAAACATTGTTTCTGAACAGTTTATAAACAGTTTTTATCAAAAAATATTGCCTAATGAATACATGGCTTAAGATTTTAAACTTTCGCGTTCCATTTCGACTTAAATAGAAAGACACGGGTCTTAACGCGATATTTTTTAATGAGTTACATTATGTACTCACGTTCGTGGTGCACTTTGAATGGAGATGGATGGAGAGAGTCGTTAATTATTTCTAATATTGTAACAATTTCACACAAAATATATGAAGTTTTCAATCGCAGTCTGTCGTCGCGTCTAGTCTATCGCCTAATGTGCGCCTATACTTAGTAAAAATCACAAGTAATTAATATTTTTTTCATACAAACTTTGTCAGTTTATAACTTCTATAACCCATTGATTACGACATTGAGCTTTCTTTATGGTATAATGTGCATTATAATGATAATACTGACACCCATTTAGTCCCAATCGATTCTGGGTTTCGGTCCATACATAATGGTTATTGAAGAATTTGGCATCCCATTTCAATTTCTTCTCCATGACTTGTCTTTAAAATTTAATTTTAAACATAAATACTTTTTACAGTTATGCTGACGTCATCGTGCATCGGCTACTCGCGGCCTGCATAGGGGAAGACATGACACATGCGTCACTACTTGACACTAAGCATGCGGACTCAATATGCGACAACCTTAACTACCGCCATAGACAAGCTCAGTACGCTGGCAGAGCGTCTGTAGCATTGAACACACACGTAAGTCGACCTTATTGTTGGGTGTTAAGTGTCATTTTAGTTTTTGATAGACATAATTCATTCATCTCAAGCAAAATCAACATTATTGACACGGACAAGTTTTGTTCAGTAAAATAAATCATGTTTTATCGTGGTGGCTTACGATTTAAACATCATTAATAAGTCTAAATATTGTATAATTTTTAATATCACCTGACTTTTTTCGTTAAAAGTTAAGGTTGCCGCGTGTCTCGTTATGTCAGACGAAGTCACTCAAAGTTGTTCGACTTTACGTGACGTCTAGTTAATTTTACTTAAAATTTTCGGGGCACATTTGTACATATTCTCTAATATTTTACGTCATAATAATTATTTTTCTTTCTTAAATGGTATTCATAGTATTTATTTCGCATCCTCAGATCCTGTTCAAGAACCGCGTGGAGATTGAAGCGGCTGTAGTATTATCAGTCAAGCGGAACGCGCTGCAAGTCCTTATACCCAAGTACGGGTTAGAGGGACCGCTATACCTGCCCGCTGATAGGTTCACATACAACGAGGAGGTAAGTTTGTTCAATTTACACCATAGGTATGCGAATATCTTACGAAAATTGGGAGAAATAAGGTGAATAGTCTTTATATGGTATGAATGTTGTGCACAGCAAGGGGTCATAAAGCAAACATCACATGGAGTTGATACCTAATTGTTTGCACCTTATGTCACCATGGGTATAAGTTGCTATTAATTCCTTAATTGGACTATCATATTTGCGGTCGCTGGTTGGCGCTACTGGCGAGTGATAGGACCATACAACAGATGCGCCAACTGGGAGAACAAACATAATCTACTACGACCACATTTTTTACTCGCACTTTTTATGTCCCATCCAAACATGGAATTATATCATTTGTCCAGGATATAGCTTTAGATCCGGACTATAATTATAGCACTTATTGCAACTGCAGAAGGTGTCACAGTGTTCAGATACCGTTGTCTGTAGCCATAGTCTACTAGGTACAAATTAACCTACTTATTTTTCCAGGAACACTTCCAAATCTGCGATGGAATCATTCTAAAAACCTTCGACGAGCTAACGGTGCGACTCAGTTTAGACAGCACAAACTTACAACACAGAAAACTGGTTTTCCAACTAGTCGAGCCACATATCCCAGGCTTCAGCTACGTGCCAGAACAAGCTATGGACGTGGAAACGATAGAAGTGAAAACGGAAACGAAAAGTAGTGAAGAGAAAGTGGAAACGAAAAAGAGAAAGGACGCGAAAGACTCTAAAGTTAAGAAGAAGGCTAAGAAGTAATAAATAAGTTGGTATATTTCTTTCTTTTATTTAGACGCCTGTAGTATCGTAGATTTAGTTGTAGTATGCATGGCAGTAGCATACGTATAATCTGGTCTGTGAGCACGTAGAATTTTGTCCAATGACCCCAAGCTACCCATCCTTATCGCTCGCGCGTAATTATGTTGCTGTCGCGCTCGCACACTCACTGCGGGCGCCCGTCGCACAGTCGCGACAGCAATATTATTACGCACGAGCGATAAGGATGGGTAGCTTGGGGTCATTGGACAAAATTCTACGTGCTCACAGACCAGGCTTTATGTACAGTCAGCGTCAAATACTTCGTGATACTTAAAGTGGCCGAAAAGTAGAAAAACGTATTGCGAACTTATTGGCTAATTTGGGAGTCACGAACTATTTGACGCCGCACTGACTGTACATGATGACAGAAAATGTATAACAGTTGAGCTGCAAAAATAGCTCGTGTTGTCCTTGAATTAGGACGATTTTAAACTAAAACAAAATCATAGAATATAAAAATATTTAATCGTTGAAATAATTTATAAAATATTACACAAGTAAAACTAAGATTGCATAAAATCCTAACTAATTAACATTATGTCATAGTTTACCTTTGGTTATAAGAACGACTTTAGATTATACGAGTGCTGTGATATTTCATATTATACAAAGTTGCTATACGTCAAATGAATTCAATACACATTCTGAAAATCATCCACATTTGAAAGACTATATTATTTTAGCCAACTCCCGTTGTTTGGGCGTGGCATAGCTAGCTATACTATTCTCACAAAATTCAACTTAAAGCCTGTAGTACACAGTGGTGGTACACACTACATACTTTAAGTCTCTACTAAATTACCTCTAGTCGAGCCACGCTTCTTCAACCGTTTATTTATAATTTATAACGAAAAAGTTACAACGATTCGTGGCTCATGCTGTGTGCTATGAGCTTTATTGAATCGGCATTATTACACTATAAAATGATCTAAACTACCTAAAACTAGTTTCACTTATTGGCGATGCGTCGTCTGACCGGCGGTGGACTGACGACCTCAGCTGTAGGCGGTCTGAGAGAGCTAGTTGAAGCTTCAGACTGGGCATCCTGTTCAGTATTAATCTCTTGTGGTTCTGGCGGCGTGATTATAAGAGGAATGGTTTGGACTTGCGCTTGCGCAGCGATCCTGGCGATTTCCTGGTCTACCTTCGCGATGAGCTGGTCAATAGCCACTGCCCAGCGGTGGGCAGGGACCGTGTGGGAAGGAGACAGGCGCGCGTCGGTCATGACGGCCAAGCGGACGGTGTCGGCGTACTGGATTACTGTCAGCGACATGCCTGCAATAACGAAAGGGTTTTTAGCGATTAAATATTTACGTCTCTTTGTTTAGATAAGGAACTATGTATAACACCTGAGTAGCCAGGACAGCACTAGTAGACCGAAATAAAGGTCTTGTTTACATTCTCGACGATGCTATTTACTAGCTTTTGCCCGCGGCTTCGCCCGCGTGGAATTTTGTCTGTCACAGAAAAACTTTATCGCGCGAGTCCCTGTTTCAAAAACCGGGATAAAAACTATCCTATGTCCTTTCCCGGGACTCAAACTATCTCTATTCCAAATTTCATCAAAATCGGTTCAGTGGTTTAGGCGTGAAAGAGAGACAGACAGACAGAGTTACTTTCGCATTTATATTATTAGTATATGTAGATGGGTGAAAATGTATGGAAGTACTGCTAGGAGAATAAAGCTGGGATTTTTTCCTCTGTGGCAGATAATCAGAAAAAGCCACTGTTTGTAGTCAAAAACGTAAACATGAAAAAATAAATAAGTAAATATTTAACTTACTGATATTCGCTTGCGGCGGCCTCCAATACACCACAGCATCGACCGTCTGTCCCCAAAGCGTTGTCCTTTGCGAAGCGTGCACCGGCGTGTTAATTTCTGCATACGAGACCGCGTATCTTCGCGACAGCATGTTCAGAGTGAGTCTCGCGAAGGGCGAAGGCACCGCCCTGGTTAGGGCTCCGCAGCGGGCCTGCGCGGCCCAGGCGCCTGCGAGCGCCGTCTGCCGGTTGCAGGCCTGTTCTACCACGGATGCTATACGGCGGGGAGTCGCGCCTATTGGTAGGGATAGGCAGATCATACCTGGAAAAGAGATATTACCCGTAAAACATTTATCATAAGTTTTGTTGTAGGGAAGCCGCTACCAGTCGATTAACATGGAAAACATTGGGGAGGCCTATATTCAGCAGTGGACGTCCTATGACTGAATTGATGATGATGATGATGAAGTTTTGTTGTCTCATTTCGTGTTTAGTGTTCTCTGTATACATAAACGCTTTTACACACTATGCCGCCGCCGCCGCGGCTTACCTAGTGTTTAAGGCGGTTATCACACTGCGCCGCGCTCCACCGCGGAGCGCGTGATTTTCATATAAAAATCACGCGCGCGGACGCGTTGTCAGTGTGAAGTGCCGCGCGTGTTTTCTATACAAACTGACGTACTTGCATACAATGATTAAATCTGTCGTCCCGCGCTCCGCGGCGGAGCGCGACGCAGTGTGATAACCTCCTAAACGCGCTAATTGTAGCTAAGAGACACGAATGATATCTCAAAATATAGGTTGTCTTGCAAAAGCATGCGGATCTATAATTATAAGAATATCAAGAGTACCTATGTCCCTATGTCCTTAAACAGATATTGGTTACGTAACATTTTATAAGCCCTGCTCCCCATGGCATAGCTACTTTTGTAGTTATGTCTTTCAACGTCTTAAATATAAGTATGGCGAATCCAACTTACCACCCGTTTGTGATTTCTTATAACTCTTCCCGTTGCCTTCTGCGAATGCGAACAAAAAGTCTTCAGAGGCCGCTCTGGCCGTCGTCAGAACAACCTCTGGTTTGTCCTGCTGCGCTTGCTCGAAGTATGCCCTAAGCCCGTCCGTGGCTGCGTAGAGAGCTATGTCTGTAGACGACACTCCGAGCGCTCGGGCCGCCCGTTCGATGCCCGCACGGGGCACGGGTCTGGACCAGGCAATGACCTAAAATAACAAAAAAAGAAAATTAATTGTAATTCTTAAACTACGCACTAGTATCTGTCTGTTATGTTCGCATTACACAACACGATCCTAGTTTTATCTAATAATCAATAATTTTAAAATTATACCAGAATTTTTTTACGAGCTACCATAAACAAAACAAAGCAAAAACAAAGAAGTGGAAAATAATGCTGTTTAATTTGTATTGAATAATGTTATTGTGTAAAATAGCTCAGTCAAATAAAACTTGAAAACGACATAACAAAACGTAACGTAACCTACTTATGTAATTTGTCCCCTAATAACTAGTAATGTATCATAATACCCAACTTCAACACTACGTAACAGTATTAGGAAAAATTGGCCTCACCTTCCGTCCACACAACGAAACGGTCTGCAACAGATGTCGTTTTCCATCGTCCGCCCTAACCGTGTCTTCCCATAATTTCGACGGCGCTCTGTAAGTTTCCACCAGTCCTCGCCACGCCTCGCTAACTGCGCGCGCGCACAGCTGAGCTATTTCTGCATATTGCCAAGTTAATGTATTGAACTGTTTCACTTGGCCGGTGGTTCGAAGCTCGTTAAGTGCAACCAGCTCGTCTCTGAGTCGAAGAGGCAGCTTGATAATGGACTTTGTGGTTGTCAATGCAACGTTAAATAAACGGCGCGGCCATTTGCGAGGGTCAGCTGTGACTAGCGGTGAGATCAATATCTGGAAAGTAATGAAATTCCTACAGTTACATTATAATTCATTGGACACTTCATTAAGCATTGTAGATAAGCTTGCATTTCTTGAAAATTTTTTCGAGACATTGAATGCCTGTCAATTCTCATTATAACTCCATCTGTGGCCTTATGAGAATTATAACAATCTCCTATTCCTATAGTCTATTGGAAAGTTGTGATAGGGTTTCTTGAAATCTTACTTATACCTAACTCAAGAACGGGTGAACCAATTTAGCTTAAAATTGTCAGGGAGGTAGTTTAGAGCCAGGAGAAGGATATAAGATACATTGTATCCCGTTCGAAATAAAAAAAAGTCTGCTTATTTATTGCCATTAAGGCGGAACAAAGTTCGCCGGGTCAGCTAGTAGTTTTATAAAGTATAAAAAATCTTTACCTTTGGTATGGTCAAGTTCCTCCTCTTGCATTCTCTCTGTATAGCAGCCAGCAGCGTCGTAGCGGTTACCGGCGGGTCCGAGCTCACACGTCTTTCGCTCGAGCGTTTCTTTGTCAGTTCCCTCAACACGCTCACACTCGATATCAATATCAGACCGGCTACATGAAATGCCCCTGGTAAAGATTTTAAAGCCCGCGGACTCTCAACCGGGTCGTATTCCGAGACGAACTCATTCCACGCGTTTGATAAGTTTTCGTTGACTTTTTCCCACAACTCGGGTATAGCTGAAGGCGACGGGAAAAGTTTAGCCAATGGACTCTGCTGGGTATACTCGCTGGGTTCCTCAATCCTTTCCCTTTGGGGTAGTTGTTCCATGAGGAGTAAGTCGCCGATGTTGATAGACCGCTCTCCAGAGAGGAGCAGATGGTGGACTCGCACTAACACGTAGTATTTTGGCTCCGGCGACATGCAGGGGATGATAATGTACTGCCATGGTGGCTGTTCACTGGGGAAGTATTTTGATACTATCTCGCTGACGTAATCCTGAAAAAAGAAAGATAATACCTAGAGGAGTTTATTATGACTAGCGATCAATGCTACTATTAACTTAACGATATAACGAGAGGGGTCAGAGGAGTCAGATAGCAGGTGAGCCACTGCAGACGCCTGGCATGACTCATTCGGACTTATAGTTTAATGCACTTAACGGAACTTTTCTTTTCTGATAATCGGGTTCATTCAAGATTGTAGTGTCCTGAACAAACTGATAACACTACGCAATGATTTTTCAATCAATGACCTAATACAGTCAAACTCGCTAACTAGCCACTAGACCTTATTTTTAACGTCGGGAAATGCTTTGCGCATAACCCACTGGTCGATGGGGACGGCCAGTGGGTTAATATGTGGGACTCTCTCCGCCTAACCACGGCCTATCCCCTATCCCCGCCTAAAGACGGGACCTACCCACTAAAACCCGACGGTTTCCACCAGAGCCCAAGAAGCGGAGTTGGGAGTTATTGTCCTAGTTGGACATTCGTCCGCAGCTCCGCCTCAGGCTATAGCTCGCTCAAGAGCGAGCCTCTCCGGCTTCGAGAAACCCCCAATTCCCTCCTCCAGTTATTTTTTATAGAGGTTTTCTCCTCGCGGCCCTGGTACAACAGGACCCCCGGCCCGCCGTAGCAGGTTACGGTCTGCTTCATGTCGCTGCTCAGTCAGTTCTGCTGATTAGAGAAGTACCGAGTGCGGCCCTTCAAAGAATGGGCCCGGGCAAATGCCCCGCCAGCCCCCACCTGTGGGGGTTTTTAAAGATGTCCCCTGCATCGTGGCCCGGGCAAATGCCTCGACGGCCCCCGGCCCTCTCAATTGTGAGTTACGGGTTGCCCGACAGGCCCGCCGAGTTGACGAGAACCTGCAAGTTAGCCGCCCGCGTGAATAGACCACGCGGACGTAGCCCAGGGTGCACCACGAGGAGGTCACCATCACACCCCAACTAGGCACTAGACCTGGACTAGACCTACCTGTATGTTATTGTCAGACACAGGTCTTCCCCTGTACACAGCCGTGGCTACGATCAGATGGTTCTCAGGCTTGAAGGGTTGACTGGCGTCCCACGCGTAGTTGCCCCAGCACGACACCAGCTGGTGCCTCAGTCGTGGGAACATGACATCTCCGTTCTTGTCCCGTCTGTTGATCACGTGGTCGATGAGCTGCTGCTTTATGTCTTCAGCGTTTGGAGTGCCTTTGAAAGAGAGTTTTGTTAAAATGTTGACCGAGGTTTTGTAAAGAAATATGATGTATGAGGAATTCACTTCTGTCTGAAGAGCGACCTTAAATTAAATGTGTTTACCTAGTGGCAAAAAGGGTTTTCCGTGTCCGAGATTTTGTGGTCTCTTTTTTTAAATTTCTGCTTCATAATTGGGAAATGCTGCAAGCATATCAGTTTCCCTTTTTTCGGTAGAATACGGCTACCATTAGTAAGATTTGGTTTTTACCTTTAATAGAAAGTAGTACGTTGATAATGCCCTGGTTCCTATGTGTGTCGAGTAGCGACCGCACAGTATCTGTTCTGATGAACTCCAAGCCAGGGTACCGGCTCGACAGCAGCTTCAGCCATAAGTGCTTGCTTACTCTCACCACTGTTGGAAGAAAGAGAAGAAAAGAAATAATTTTAATAGTCGAAATAACAATCTTTCCAATTGGAAATGTTAATTGGTTTTCGCATGGAGATGACATCATTTGTTTGTGCTCAAAATCACTGCGGTCTGTCCCTCCTTGTTTGTTGTGTTATTCTAGTATTTGTGCATAAGCTAATCTCAGAATGAACTTAGGTTGCTTGAGCATATAAATTAGAGACGCAATCTAGGTAGGCATACTAAGGCATATAATCATATAATATGCCGCATATTTCAAAGTAGTCTCGGTGAAAAATATTTCTGACCATTAGGCATTATTGTTTGATGTTTTCCGACTAATAAACTCAATAAACACATTATATTGTTTATGCTTAATTCAGACAAAGAAAAGTCTTAAGATGTTAATTATTGTGGACCCTTTCCAATTTACGATGAGTCATTATCAGAAACAAATACCTATATGTTCAACACTAATGATGACTCGTATTATTATATTTTGTCTGAAAACACGATAATGGGTTCAAAGGAATCGTAAACATTTGCCTCAAGATACTCGGGACGGAACTCTCTCTGTGTGATAAGTTTGAGAAAACATTGTTCCAAACAAATAAGCGACAGACATTTGGTCGATAGAGATATCACGATTCACTGACCAAGTCAATATGAGTTTATCAAACTGTGTACCCAATAATTTTGATTTTATAATACTAACTACATCGAGGCGAATACTTGGTGGATGAACCACATAATATCAGCGAATTGGGAACTCCCGCACCTTTTCCTCAGATGTTTTCATATTCATTCCGACCCTCAGAGAAGTTGCCTTCATTTAAAACTGTGTCACTATTTTATACAAATAAAGTCCTAATTAAGAAAGCGTTTCAATGCTAGCCTCCTCGTTTACCAATAACGGACCAGTTAGTTGAAGACTTCAAAGAACTTACCGACATAAGATATAGCTAAAGCGGGTAATGCAGAGAGCGCGATCCAAAACGCGCAGTACGCGTAAATTTCCTCTGCAAGCCGCGAGCGCACACCTTTCTTTCGCGTGCCCATTTTCGTCACAGCCTATTTTGTGCTCATGTGTGCAGTTGCCTTTAGTAATCGCCTAGAAATAAAAAAATTGAGTTAGTTTTGCCCTGATTTTCACAACAGACAATAAGAAAATTTTAGATCTAAGCCCTTCCTTTTTCGATTAAAATATATTATTCGATTTAATAACAATATACAAATATTAAGCATTAAACTATTGAGTATAGCTGGGAACCACAGGCCGTTATAAATACTGATGAGTTTTGTTATGTACTATGCATTTATGTTGCATGCATTGCGCTTATTAGGTACACATATTCACGATTCAGTGACTAACGATGTTATGAAAATTGTACAGCTAAATTGGGTTAGTGATCCGTCTAGAATAATTATTAATTACTTTCAATTTCTATAAAAGAAGTAGGTACATAATTTAAATTAAAATTATTCTAAATGTTGTATCACGTTTGCCGCGAGTGTATAACCAGTACTTCAGCGAGATTGACCTATTTAACTATAGCAAGGTAAAATTTAGGTTACAAGCCATTAAAGTGCTAAAAGATGCCTGATCAGTGGGTGGGCCAAACACACACACACACACACACACACACACACACACACACGAACACACAAGGAGCATAATGTGTAATGTGTATATGTTTTGTGTTTCATTTAATGTTTTAGTGTCAGCATAGTTTATTTTATTATTTTTAATTTATAGTTATGTGGTTATCTAAACGATTCGACATTTCCAACTCAATATGATATTCTGTGGAAATCTGTAATTAGCTGTAAGTTTTATTCAATACTAATGTATAATATTACCATAATGTATCGCCGTTGATTTCCCAAATAAATAAAATAAAATAAAATCGATAGCCTTGAATAAATGAACTTATTTATCGGCCAGAAAGATTACCAATGTAAATCAATTTATCTTGCTTTAGATTTAGAGTTCAAGGCACTTTTAATAAGCTTCTGTATTAGTCACTAAGCCGCTGATGATAAATAAATTCTACATCAATCTAAAGCCACGGCTAAAGCTGTGTCCGTATTTTCGGATCTATCTGTCACTGTCCTCTATGCAGTAACTCGCTGTGAGCGAGAAATTCGAAATCACAGATGCGATGTTTGGGAGAAGCACTAGCAATAGTCCAGTCAATAATATAAGTTTTCGCGCTAAAAAGGGTGGAAAGTAAAATGTTTTAATTAAAACAAATTAAAAGCAATTTCAGTTGATTGTTTACAAATTAATAATACCTACTATTTAGGTAATAACTAACGATTATAAAGCTAAAAGTTTTATAATAATTTTATTTATAAGTTTTAATAAAATTTTCAACTTTACTACAACAAACGAACGAACTATAAAAGAATCTGGTAGGAAAGATTCTGTACAATACATTATCAATGACAATGTGTGTTGTTTAATTATGGCGCCCAAATAATTAATCGATATCTTATGTAAAAACATCGCATCCAGGATGCTAATTGTTATCGGTCTTAAAATTGTTTACAAAACTATTAAATATTTTACTCAATATTCCTGATTAGATAACTTACCTATTTCGTGAAGCAATGGAGTGTACACTGTCTTTGTTTTAACATTAATGTCAATTAATTTGTATTCGCACGGCTCCAAATGCGAGTCTGATGCAAACGCGGAGAGACTTACTTTCTCTGGCCACTACGGCCGTGGTGAAAGGTCGGTTCATTCATGAGATAAACATGCAGACGTAAGATGACATTTGTTGAGGAGTTTGATTTTTGTATCTGATTGCGGAAATGGGAATCTTTCGACTTTATTTTTATTTACATCACTATTACGAGTACCGTAATATTTTTACATTACCTACTTCGTCATTAAACATGCCGCTGCTGTCCTGATGCGTATATGTATGTATAGTGAATAAAAGCGTTTAATACGAGTAAAAGCCTATTTGCAAAAATATGTTATTACTATTATGACTTTTTATTATTGTGATGAACTTAGTATATCGGCACGGACAGATCTGCAGGCAAAGGTTAGCAGTATGAACGAATAATCTGTTTCCGAGATAAACTTTTGTTGACGGATTTATGAGAACTATGAACTATTTATGTTTGTATGTAAGAGAGATGCTGTGCTAATGATTGTTACGTGGGCGATGAGTGCAACGAGACCATTCTTACGCTGATAGATATTTAACCCTGGTTTGATTTGCGTGTGAGAGATAAAACAGAGTGATCTCATGTTGAACAACTACTCGTGCTAGCTTATTGTTTACAGGTCGGGATCAAAGTTACATGTAAACCGTGACTTTAGATTGACCACTGTGATGTTGTAGGCATTTAAGTGTTTCCTTTTCTGTTTTTTACTGCCATTTTGTGACGATATTGTGTCTGTTTTTGAACCAACTGTCAGGTCATTAGTTAATTAGCAGTTGCTAATCCAAGACTAGGTATTATATTACTAATCTTAGATTGTGCAATTGGTACTAAACGAGCGATTGTTTGTAAAACAATTACAAAATTACATGCTTTGTTTACTGGAGTAACGTGTTATTGGTTTGTGACGTGCCGTTTCCTATTTTGGTTTTCTGTTTTAATACCACTTTGTAGTATTGTTGGTTCAAAAATGACTGAATAGCTGCAACAAACTACGCGAGGCGGACGTGGTTTCGTCTTGACTCGGCTATCTCGTGACCTGCTGCAGATAGCGGTATCGTTCCTATCCCGCTAGTGTCCCGACTTTGATATCAAAAATTTGAAACAAAAATAAACAGTGCGAAGATAAAATCTGGAATTTTGAAGTAAAACCAGTAAAACTCAAGGCTCAAGTATAATTTTTGCGGCAATTAGTTTATAGATATGAAGTTATTTCATTTATTTTAATGAAATATTATAAAATCGTCTGGTTCAAACTTCTTAGTTAGGTACTTTTGGAAAAGACTAGCTTTTTTGCTAATTTTATAGAATCAACCTAAGTTTTTAGAAAAACAAATATAAAATTTAAAAGGCCCATTGTTATTTGAGAGTTATTTACACATAAATCTTATGATAGATTTTCCCTAAATTGTTTAATAAATCTTACTTACAATGAAATAGCTTGTCATACCCACCACTGTTCGACTGGAGGGTCAGTTCCAAAACACCACGATTCACCGGCTTCAATGTTGCACAACACTGTTACAAAACTTACAATGTCTCGATAACCCTCGGGCGGCGTATTGTGTAAGTACGAGCAGCGCGCGCCGGTTATCGCGGCGGCGTCCAAGGTTCAACTGAGTGCACCACGATACATAAGATCCGGTGATGGTTGGGTGCAAATGCTGCTATCTGTTATGTGAGGGTAGTTTGATTGTTTGCGACTTAATGACTTTGACGTTTGGCGCCCGCGTAAGTTAAATTATCATAATTAAATTAGGTAAGTACACATAATAGGTATGTAGTTTTCTTTTCCATAAACAAAAATAGCTGCTTCCTTACTACTTCGCATAAATTTTCGTTTCTTTTTCCTCAAGGTAGCAATTATTTATCAATACTATACTTGCCAAAATGCATTAGAAATTCATAGAATCATTGTTCGGGTCTTTTTTTATTTAACCAGAATACTGAGCTTACAATCGACTAATAAATAGATTGATAACCATTGCCATTATTATTTCGTATGCGTACCTAGGAATCGAACCCAGATATCGAAGAACTAGTTATAAAAAAAAACAATAAATATTTTAGGTCGTAGCTCTTATTTTAGGTCTATTTCTAGATATCCCTGTAAAGGTAAAGGAATAAAATAATACCAATGTTCAAAATTAAAATTATTTATTGAAACAACTTCAATTTTTAAATTAATATAATATTTAACTAAGCTAATGGGCTTAGACTTAGAACTAATGTAGGAAAGCGCAATGTACGTAATGAATCGACACAAGTAGCCATAAGTAGGTACACAGAAGTTAATGATCTTATTTCAATAGGTTTTCTTCTAGGTATCAATATAGGATACTTAATTAGGCTCGCGGAAGATTATGATTTATCATTAACATTAATTACATTAACAATGATCTCACAAATGCTCAAAAATGTCATCCGGGATATTAAAATTAAAAATGCTTTTAGCTTACATTGTATCGTACCTATATGATACCTAACGGGTCTAAATAATTGTACACAGCAAAACATTACTTTAAACGTCCGAGATTAATTTACCGAGTACACAAGTGATTAACAGGGAAGATACAATAAAAATTAAATACAAGTTCTTACAGCCACTCTTATCACATATTACAGCTTTATCTACTAGTTTGTCTACCATAGAAAATCTAAGATAACACTTCACCGCATGTATACAAATTTGTAAACAAAATCTACAAAATTATTTCCGAACGGTTTAATCGTCTAACTGTACTATACAGGAAGGTCAAAATATATCGGATTAAAATAAGTTACAGTCGCGAGCGGTTCAACCTGCCACAATGTGACGAATTTCCCCAATGGATTTTTAACTTTATTCTTAGTTACTTTACAGTTTAGAATACATTGAGGAAAGTCATCTATGATGGGTTGATGTAGCCACCGTATAATAAAGAGAAATGCATTAAGCAATATACGAATAAGAATCGCAACGGTAGTGTTGCGTTCACGTCAAATGAATAGCGAGTACTCGAGTTACTAACGAGATGATTACAATCGATTATAATTTGGCATCGAACAAACTTAGCTTACTTAGCCTCGCGGTGAAACTAAATGCGAACGAAAGCGTTGCAGCGAGGTTCCGTAGACTCGATAGGACTGCCACCAAACATCCAGCGAACTTGTTAGGCAATTCGAAATAAGTTACCGACGATTTATGTACTATATGACCCGTAATTATTAAAAACCATACAACGGAATTTATAATTTATATGGCTTCAATCAAATGGTGGCATCCCTACTCGCACAACACAAATTGGAAAGGCCTCCGAAACATTATCAAAAATAAACTCCCATTTGTTCAAGCTACTTTCCAACCATGTGAATGAAAATTATTGGTAGGCCAGTGATCAACTTAATTTACAGGTTGGATAAATAAACCTATATAACCTACCGTGCACAGTGTTTTAGAAACCCTCAAAATCGGACATGATTAAGTTAATGCCATGAGTCGATAGCGTCTTATGTTTCAATCACAAGAGTGAAACTCACGTGTGCTCATTTTACTTGGTTTTTGAGAAAAAAATTCCTAAAAATGAAAAAAAATCTTTTTTAATAATTAAGAGGGTTTGTAAACTTGTGATATAGCTGATTCGATTGATCATTAAAAGACGCATGTATTGTACTTTATTTCATTTCTACAAGTCAAGTAGTTCCAGAGATTTTAATTATTTTTCATTATTTAGACTTTATTTTTTTTCTTCCATCCTAAATGGAATCCGCAATTTTATTTCATACTGAACAATACTTTGGTATAGCCTCTATATAGAAATGTTTTTATCTTTCGTGGATCGTGTCTTGTACCAGAGATATATGAATTTATTTTTTTTTATTTTCGCCTATACAATTTTTTATAGCAATGTTTCATCGACGCATTGGAATATGATAAGGCGTTTTAAAGAATAATTACAAGGGGACTTCGTCGTCAAAAATACGTGTCTCCCGTGCCAAATACATTGTGTCGTTTATATTATTATGGACTTTTCATCCTCTGTACTGTGTTCGGTATCTCTAGTATCTTCGATGTCTTGTTGTTCGTGTTGGCAAGGTTGAAGTAATGAAAGTACTGCTTTAGAGAAAAGTATTATTTACAATTTAATTTGCTAAATGGGTTTTAGCAATCGCCCTACGAGTGTGGACCCCTTCCCGTGCCACACACAACCCTTCATCGGAGTATAGTTAACGTCAGATTATATTTCAATGCGTAGATGAAACATTGCTATAAAAAATTGTATAGGCGAAAATAAAAATAATAAAAATTCATACATCTCTGGTACAAGACACGATCCACAGAAGATAAAAATATTTCTACATAGAGGCTATACCAAAGTATTGTTCAGTATGAAATAAAATTGCGGATTCCGTTTAGGATGGAAGAAAAAAAATAAAGTCTAAATAATGAAAAATAATTAAAATCTCTGGAACTACTTGACTTGTAGAAATGAAATAAAGTACAATACATGCGTCTTTTAATGATCAATCGAATCAGCTATATCACAAGTTTACAAACCCTCTTAATTATTAAAAAAGTTTTTTTTTTCATTTTTATGAATTTTAAAAACGGCCAACTTTCACAATTTTTTTCTCAAAAACCAAGTAAAATGAGCACACTTGAGTTTCACTCTTGTGATTGAAACATAAGACGCTATCGATTCATGGCATTAACTTAATCATGTCCGATTTTGAGGGTTTCTAAAACACTGTGCCGTGTTAATAACTGATATGATGTGTGACACTAACGTCTACATTCGTTATATTAATAGTAAATATGTAAATAATATCAGTCCATTTGTCGACTTAAATATATCTCCGTGACTAAAATGAACTGACTACGTATTGATGATATTGTCACAGAGGCCTTCCTTAACGTACAGTATCAACTATTGCTTAAATTCGTCCAGTGCGACTTGAGGCAAAACTATTTATTGACCATCTTTTGTCATACAAGACGAATCAACATATCACAATTGAGATACACCAGTCGCCTCCGAACGCGTTTCCTCTGAACGAACCGTCAATGACTGACAATAATCGTTTGAACGTAAAATTTCCCGAAGACTTTAATCAGAGTCTAATATATTTTATTTTTGCGAAGCTATTCTCATTCGCTTACTTCATATACACACATTCACACGTGCTAAAGTATGTCATTATTGATGGCAAAATTTTAAGCGATCTCGTTATCTATATTATTATAGTTGGTCTAAGGACTCCGATTAAGGTCCTAACCTAATAGACTAGAAAGACTACGATTTCAAAAACGTCAGTCACTTCGGAACAGAGCAAACGCGTCCAAGTTATCAACCGGTTCGGTGCGTTCAAATAGCGCTCGCTTTGATGTGCTTAGCGGAAAGGAACTTCTGCTCGATCGACCTCCGCGGAATGCCACTGACCTTCTTCGGCGAGTGTCCGTTGCAGTTGATGGACGACGGCAGCGACTTGTAGCCGCCGTCGGAACTGTAATCCGTATCCGTAGACTGGCCGTTTAAGCTTGGGCTGTGGCGGTTTCCGTTGACGCTCTCCTTGCTGCCGATTCGTCCGTTGTACAGATCGCCGTATGACGTGTGATGTTTGAGTAGGGAGTTTTCGTCGATGACGGCGTGTCGTAGCGTTTCGGGGGCTGGGTACTGGTTGTGGAAGTTCTCTATGGACCGGGAGCGGCCGGTGTAGAGGGAGATCTTGGGCGATCGGTCGGCGGATTCTCCTAGGGAGGAGTCGCGTTTATAGCGGCCGAGTGCCTGGAGGTACTTGGAGCCGACGCGACTGTTTCCTTTAAGGGTGACGTCGGGCCGGTCGTCGGGCTTTCGCGCGCCGCAAGTACACTTAACAGCCGCTAGGGGCCGCTTGCTCTTTTGTGCTTCACTGTACGCGGGCAGCTTGCGAGCGCTAGCTTGTTCATTCCAACTGTGAATGGGGTGTTTGGTCAGTTTTGTGGTTGGAACTGCAAAATGATTTCGATATAGGTATATTCATTGCCATGTGGCGTGCACGTGTAACTTAACACGTGATTGGATTATTCCCAATTTAAAGGTCCACGACTCTATTGTTCTTATTTCCCACCGGGTCTATAAAATTTAAAATTTTCATAGAAAATGCTTTTTTATTTTTGATGTCGTGGACCCGTTGGGATTAAGCCACGTGATTTAGTAGCCTGTCAGTTTGCAACGTTTTCATACAAAAATGTACGTAGGTACACGTCTCATGAAGTGAATACACCTTAAATGCCGACTCTTCATTGTACTTCAGTATGAGAAAGATTGATAGAGCCGGTAGGTATATCGAAATCGTTTTGCAGAAAATCTTTTAGTAATGGTGGTATAGACGAAACACATAAGAAAATAGTGAGTCATGGTCCTAATCGTTAAATTGATTGTAATAACACAAGTGATACTAATTTTCCATGTGTAGATAAGTGTAAATATAAGATTAACCCAAGGACAAGTCATTTTACACTCATGTTATTCAGCCAAATAAAGTCAAGCTTGACTCTATACTTGAATTTAAATCGAGTTTAGGGAACTCGAGTAGTTTCATAACACGAGCCTAAGTTACTTCGCTCTCTTTAGTTAGTTGTTAACTGTGGACAGCGAAATATATTAGCTAGATTATATTCTATTCTACATTAAAAATATCGTTGATATTACTTTAAATAATACGTTTTATGTATGTATAAGAATTCTAATGTTACACCTCGACACAAATTAAAAATATATTCTCACTATTTTCTTCGATAAAAACAATTAAAAATCATTTGCACTCGCTATTTACATGTACTAATTTAAAGCATATAACACACATAATTTATAGGGTACGTTTTTATTAATTAAAATTAATATTACGTATAAACAGTTCATAAAACACTCGAATAATTTATTGAAAGAGCCAATTTAATCCTCAATTAGTTTATGCAAAAAAAAATGTTAAAATAGCAATTACATAATAATATAAAGAGCAAACGGAATAACATTATATGTAATAAGAAATCTTCAGACTGAATAAATTTTAGTTCAAAATTCGTAAAGTACCGATTTCACCTCACCTTTATATTCTGGAGGGGCAGCGTGTAACACAGAGACAAGATTCATAATCAAAGTCTAAGGCAAATAGCTTTAGTGTCACCTAATATAAGACTAGTCAACACACGACTACCTTCAAACAACACAACTATTTCGAAAACCATACAACATGAAGCCGAACCAATTAACGCCAAATTACGTGCCAATTAATTAAGGAAGAGTCCATGTATTTTATTCGTATTAGAAAGCCGACTGATTAATATTTTTTGCAAAAACATATCTTACCACGAACATACAGGGCGTGCTTTGAGATAAAAGTTGATGTATTATGAAAGATAAATAACTTTTTTTAAATATTTTTTTTTCAGTCAGTAAACTAGTGTTATAAAGAACTTAGACCACTTTTCTCTATCTATCATAAACATGATCATTTGTTCCCATCTCAAAAAATCGCCTGCTAAGACTCTTTCTTACATCGTTATATCGGTGCCCTATAATCCTTGTCTTAAACCCTACCTTGGATGTCAACATAGCACCACTTCATTGCACCTTACATTGCCAATACATTTAATTCGAATCTGATCTGAAATTATCAATAGACTTCTAAACATTTAGGCACTTAGGAAGTTACTCCGTAAGAAAATTAATCTAATCTGATTTTAGTGACTGTGTAAAATGTTGATATAAAAATGAAAATATTTACAAATACCTACCTATCAAGCGTTTTAAAACAGGTATACATACATATAAAATAGTATTATGGTGTGCTAATTAATTACAGTGGATGGCACCATTCTTGTGCTCTTCACTTTACATTTGTCTCATTAAAATACTGTCAAACTTGCCGAAGAATAACTTCAAGTTTAACATTATGATTAAATATCGGGCCTAAACGTTAAACTAATCCAAGCACACCCTGTATAAACAACTATCCATCATGCATCACTTGTAGTATCTCTCGCAGTAGTCATGGACGTCCTTGTCCGTCATCAGAAAGACATTCTCTCCAGGGGAGCGGTACACCAGATGCAATAAGCACAAAACATTGACGGAACACAACAGGCACAGAGCCAGTAAGCAGTCGAGCCACGCTACCTGCTGCGACGGACGAACGCGGGCGCCCAAGTGGAAACTGCACCATCGAATTAAGAGCAGCATGGGGAGAAAAATGATCGTTAAACATGAGATGGAGTGTTGCGATGAAAGAGCGGACCTTGGGACAGTTCGATCGACACCGCTTATGAGGGTTAAACTGAAGCTGAAGCCTAATTGTGGCCAAAAGTGTAAACTTAGTACTTGTTTACGTTGATAGAGTTTGTGCATCCGCGATTGCAACTTATTTTTTTACATGATTTATGATTCTATTTTCTTATTTTGAGTGAGCGTTATTCTTATGTGAGTTTAAACATTAAAAACAAGTTAGTCACTAATAAGTCTAAAATAATTATGATATTATTGTAATAAATGATTGTGTCGTTTCGCTAAACTTAAAAGCCCAAATCAATGTCAATTAGAATGTTAGAAAGTAGAATATAGAAAATTTAAAAATAAAATTACCTTAAATGGTAGACGAGAAGTCTTAATTCTTGATTTATGAATAACATTTTTACGATAAATTTAATGATGTTAATAAAGAAGAAAATAATCGTTTATTTAATAAAGATTTGGACTTTAGATGGTCATTCAATCATGAAAATTACGTTGATTGAGTACTAACACACGGCAATGAAAATGCATTACATTCTTTTTATAGTGAAAAACAATACAAATACATATATGCAAATAATTGAAGGTAGCTGAGTATATCGTGACAACGGCATCGATAGAACTGTCAATGGAGCGATTTACAAGGTCACGCTACTCGATACTTTCTAATTTCATGCAACACTAGACAATGAACAAATAGAAATCGAAATGAATGAAGGTACTTATTTACAAAATTTAAATGGACGATGGGTCAAATGAAAATTCCGGTAAAGTAGGGAGCCATGATGAAGGTGACTCTACACATGGACGTTGGGGCGAAAGTCATCTTCTTGTTCATATAATCCTTTAAAAGAATGATCCATCTCGCTTTCCTCAGATCAGACGCTAAAGACACACTTCTAGATATGGTGTTTTGTAAATGCTCTTTGCAATGTGTGAAGTAGTATGATGGGTATATGGGGGTTAGATACAGGACCGAAATGATGGTGTGCAACCTATGTAATATGACTTTTAATGAGTGCACCGAAGCAGCGATAAACCTAAAACAATACATACACAGATAATAGATATATAAAATAGATATGATAACTAGAAAAGGAAGTGAGAAATTAACGGTGATTATGTATTGGCAATATTAAATGAGGTGTGTAAGGATTTCAGTCAATCGGCGTAGATACGCATCGGTAGCAATAGGATGTTTACCTCACTAATCCGGAATTATCAGAACTCGTTAGCGCCGTACTCATCGGGGGCCGCAACTGTAATGAAAAATAATAATCGTTAATAACAGGTTTGCTATTTCATTCAATTCCCAATTCAATTGAGGGTAATGTAGATATTATGGTAACGATCGCTCATTGTTCAATCATGCACTTCAAAACAATTACTTACAATTTACTCCTACATACACCCTTAATTGTTGCTGTTGCAAGAATGTATGAAATCTTTAAAATTTTTAGAGCGTTATCTCCATCTCCGGTTTAGATACAACCTTGGTCAGTTTATAAATTATTTTTGATAATTGGAACGATGATTCGCTTAATTTTAAAAGCATTTTAATTGGTATTAGGGTACATGTGTAACAATTTTTTTGCTGAAGAGTCGGTCTGGAACTTATATTTCCGAAGCCCTACAAATAGCGTATGCGAATCAAATGGTTTCCCACTTCACGCAATTATTGACCATGGCGTTGATTTCTTAACTCAATCACTATTGCCGCGGAATTACCTACAAACGCTGTGCTAAAAGGTACGATAAAGTTAATAACGCTATAAATCCAAAATTGGGTCATTGGAAAGGTTACCTAGTTTGGCTAGCCTAGCTAGGCACCTAGTGCGTGACTTATATTTTCTGTTACTCTAACCAACACAGGTCATCCCAGAAAGCTAGCAACCTTTTCCAGACAGGTAATGACGAGATTGTACAATTTTAGTCTTTTGATTTTCTATGCTACCCTAGGCACTCGTAATTGCTGTGCCCTGCGTGCGTAAATAGGTCTTTATTTGATACTCGGCTAGGACTAACCCTCCTCTCTTTTCCACCACCGTAACTTCAATAGCTTAAGGGACAGTCTCAGGTAGAGATGAGACGTATTTACTAGAACAGATCCACACACTAGGTATTTTACAGTACTAAGTGGCACCTAATTCCAATTTTTAAAATACTTGATCCACCTAGTATTTTTTAAATTACACGATTTCCGACCCTACCATCAAAGTAATAGAGGTTATTATTGCATAATCCGTAGTCGTGTATTACGCGCACCGCGTATTTCTCGCTAAGTATTTTTTAAATTACACGATTTCCGACCCTACCATCAAAGTAATAGAGGTTATTATTGTATAATCCGTAGTCGTGTATTACGCGCACCGCGTATTTCTCGCTAAGCTTATGTGCGAACGTAGAGATTCACTCCGTCTCTGTCTGACAAACAAATTTGAGCGCAGGCAGGTGTGAGATAGGAATAGGTGTTTGATGTATTACGTAATTTAAACTCTATTTGTACACAGGTAAGGTTTTGAATATTTTAATTTTTGTTCTCTCTCATCCAGCTCACTCCTTGTTGACTAGCCGGTAAAAAACCAGTTTTTATTCTTCCGACAGGTTTGTTTTGGTTTGTTGTCAGGCGTCCGTGATAATTGCATAAATAAAAAATAGAAAAAATTATGTAAATATTTTTATGAAATTGATATCTTTTAAATACGCCACAACTTTTAAGTTGACAGTCCTAAGCCTGTTGAAGTATGAAGGGAGGATATCAATCAATCAACAACCAGCAAAAACATTATTATTCAATTTCAAATTGCATTATTAATACTACGAGTGGATCTTTTCAAAGAAAATTGTATTTTAAAGTCATAATACGTGGATTAGTCCGCACTAGTCGCGTCAAGTATGGTAAATTACTACGTACTAAGTGGAACAGGTATTTGGATCACGTATTAATAAATACTTTGAATAGGTGCACCTAGTATCAAATTTACCTAGTATAACCCATCTCTAGTCTCAGGATAATACATTTGTATGACTTACCCTATCGGTCTGCGTGGCGACGTTACAGGTGTCGTCGGCGCGCGGCTCGTGGCCCTCCGCCATGCGCAGCATCTGCGCTTGCAGCACGCGCACCAGACGGTCGCGCTCTTCCAACTGCCCCTGGAATGTTGAAGCGATATCTTTAACGCATTGACCTTACGGTGTCTTTTCAAGTCAAAAATTTTATTACATAGAAAATGAGGAATTTTTCTCTCTTCATCTCAGCGAAATCAAAAAAAAGTATACACAAGTATTTGAATGTAAATGAAGCAAACAAAACTTGTCGTATCGACTTGCTTTGAAATGGCGTCTTTAAACCTGCTTTATGGGAACCCATATCTCTCATCCCATTAAAAGCAATAAATAGTAAGATTTTAGGCTACTGGTTAACAGTTTGTTAGGTTCCAATAAGAGATTTCTATGGAAACCTGAAAGCACTTTGATGCCAACAGAGCAGAACTTATCGTTAGGATATCCTTCGGCGAGGTCTTTGTTCAGCATCTACTTTGGACATCCTGTGATTGAAACGGAACGATTTGATTCCTGTTAATAAAAAGAACGACGACGACAACCGATAAAGGTAGCAGGAAGGCGGTTGATGCAGGCCGCTACCAACCGTGCGATGTGGAAGTCATTGGGGGAGGCCTATGTTCAGCAGTGGACGTCCTGTGGCTGAAATGATGATGATGATGAATGAAAAACGCACCTGTAACGCCCCTGTGGGTGTCTATAGATGGGCGACGGTAATCACTTACCATCAGGTGATCGGTCTGATCAGAGTAAATACAAATGAGTAGGTCATCTTCATAGAAACGCCCGAGCGCGGTTTGTATGTGAGCGCGCCAATACGTATGCGGCGCGCACGCTCACACTGACAAAATTTAGCGTTGATTAGCGGTGAGTTGCCCCGAATTTTGTCAGTGTGTGCGTGCGCGCTGCATACGTATTGGCGCGCGCTCACATACAAACCGCGCTCGGTGCGTTTCTATGAAGATGGCCTGCTCATTTGTATTTACTCTGGTCTGATCGTTTGCCTCCTGTCACATAAAAAAATGAAAAGAAAGGTAATGAGGGTACCTGCAGATATAGTATTTGGCGCCGCATCTCTGCACAGGCGTCGGGGTTGAGCGGCGAGGCGGGGGGGCGGCGCCCGTTGCCGCGCGCGGGGCTCTCCGCGCACGCCGCCAGCAACGGGTCGAGAGTTTCGCTCTGCGCATACGCAACACTGTTAGTTTGCGGCTAGAGAAATGAGGGTAGGCGTGAGAAGACTTAAGCTTCTGCCTAACTATAGTCGGGTCTGCGAGCACGTAGAATTTTGTCCAATGACCCCAAGCTACCCATCCTTATCGCTCGCGCGTAATTATATTTCTGTCGCGCTCGCACATTCACTGCGGGCGCCCGTCGCACAGTCGCGACAGCAATATAATTATGCGCGAGCGATAAGGATGGGTAGCTTAGGGTCATTGGACAAAATTCTACGTGCTCACAGACCAGGCTTTAGACAAAGTAAAAAAACGGGACTGTTTGCCCATTTTGACAAAGTTACAAACGGAGCAGTTTTAACTTCGAAATCGCTCCACGGAACAAAGTAATAGACAATAAAAATGGAGCGAAACGATTTCGGAATTACTATTGTCATATTAGCAACTTTGTCTTGGGGAAGTGATAAAATGAGAGCAGCCCAGATTGTGAATCTCCCATTACCTAAAGGGGACAGTTTGCCCAATTTGACAAAGTTACAAACGGGGCAGTTTTAACTTCGAAATCGCTCCACAAAACAAAGTAATAGACACAAAAAATGGAGCGAAACGATTTCGGAATTACTACTGTCATATTAGTAACTTTGTTTTGGTGAACTGATAAAATAAGAGCAGCCCAGATTGTGAATCTCCCATTACCTATTAGAGATTTTCCCCAAAAACTGCCCAAATTCCTTCAAAAATGTATAAAGCTGAAATTACTGAATGGTGCAGTCGGTAATATGGCTATAGTATGAGTTAAGCTTGCTGTGTTGAGATGCCTTCGTTTTAGAAACTATATCTGACGTCGTTTAACAAATACCTAGGCATGTAGAGTCAGAGATTCTTCAGTATTTAATGAAAGTGGCAATGACTTCATAATACTCTGATAATTCCAGTAATTAATGTCATTAAAACAAAGCCCAAGAAGAGAAAAATAAGCTCTACTACTTAGTTTTTAGGACGTACCCCACAAAAATTCACTTCTTTTGATAAGATAATACCTTCACCTAAAACCCTCCCACCACCACTTCAACCGACACGCATTATTACATCGGCTATTGTTTTGTGCCACAGGAAACAAGCACTCCCCAATTTTACGTAGTTATCCATTGTATTATTGATTTATACTGGTTCATACCAATGCCAAGATCCCTTCACCATAATAGTCAGTCAAAGTTATTGGCCGTTAATGCATTTAATCAAGCTTTGAAAGCCCTCCTTGTGTAATGCTGTAATGCTATGAGTCTGTATTAGAAATTTAGAATGATGATGAAAGAAGCACCATAAGATAGGTACATAAATATGCAAATACCCTTCACCATGATAAATTATTGTGTCAACATCAATACCGAAAAGCTTTAAAAATGGTAGTCGAGAGATGTGAGCCGGAAAAAAATCTGCCACCTCCAAGAGCCCATGAAACCTGCGAAAGGCTTGAAGAAAGCATACATATTATTTGCGTTACGTATGAGTTAGGTTAAGGCGCAAGCAAACTGGTGCGTTGCACATTGCAAAACGCGTTGCAAGGCGTTACTTACACTCATCGAATGATGCTCCTCCCCGGGCTGGTGCGGCAAACAAGGCGATGCGAATGCAACCAAACAAAACACGTTACAACAATAAAACAACGTGCTAACAAGCAGTCAACTGGATTGCAGCAGGAGACAGTGATGGACAAAAGACTTCCAAGTTTTCTAGACAAGCTGTTCGGAATAAAAATTATGACACAACGCGTGTGCCTGTTACCGAAAATAATTTAGATGATGTAAACGAAATGTCTAAAAGTTTTATGTCTCATTAAACGATATGTGTTAGTTTGTCGATCATAACTTTCGCCTCACATGTCTGCTCCTCTTGTTCCCTCGTAGTCATCGTAAATGGTTTGTTGTTACGTGTCACAAATTTAAGACAACAACATTTCAGTTCAGGACAACTTATCTGTTAGTTACATAGAAGTCTTTGATTGGATTATTAAAGGCCTTCTCTCTGCTGAAACTTACGACTGCAATTAAATACACAATTAAAACTTTTCACCATTTAGAACTCTAAAATATGTAAATTCACATCACGTTCTCCTGCTGAGATGGGAATACAGTAGCAGCATGGCATCAACCCAATTTATTAAAATTTAATGGTTTTTACAATATGACGTGTGAATTCATGTGTCGGATTCATGCCTGCATTACTTTTGATTATGATTAAAAATGTTGAATTCGTGTCTTTGTAACTTATACATACTTATTTAAAAGAACTGACAAATTATATTCGAGTGTAAAAGAAAAATAAACATAATTATTTTCTATAGGAAAATTTAACTGATGAATAACGTCTAAATAACTATGTACAATTGTGATAAATTAAACGCTATGATACACATTATTATTACACACCTATGTATTTTTAAATTGGATAAAAGACTCCGCCATTCTCAACTAAGTAATGATCAAATTAGTCGAGCTTAAATTACAATTAGTTGACAATAATGAATCAAGTAGAACAATGCGATTCTCGTATATTTTTATACCAACTCGCACACGTGCTAGTGAAAATTGTTAGAAAATGTATTTCTTTCGCCCATGAGCTCGAGGTAGCTCGTTTGGTAACGAATAAAAAAGTTATATTTTTCTAATTACATTATGCAATTCGATGGGAAAATTATGTGCGAACTTAATACTTGGTTCGTTCTACATGATTGCAGCACAGGTAACGGCGCACATGCGGCCACTGGGCATAGAGGGGAAATGGCGAGCGTTACCTTATTTCCTGCACGCCTCTATGTCTACACAATATTATATTTGCATTTCGTTATGTGCAAGCGCAATCAAAACTCAATATGCAAAATGTATTTACAGAAACAAAACAGAAACTTTAAAATGATTTACATATTGGTGACAGTAAGTAGATACAATTACGGTTGACTCACTGAAGAATACGGAGAGTTTCAAAATCTTTATTAAGTATTTAACTTTACACGCATTGGGTGTAAAAACTGTGTTGAATAATAAAAATTGTTTTAATTGTGTGAATGTCTCTAATAAATATTTGCCTTTATAGCCATCTATATAGAGGCTGTCCATTTTAGTTCCGCTTGTTGTGAGATGAGTGACAAATGACGATTGCCAATCAATTAGATCAGTAGCTAAACGTGTAATTAGCGTCTTCGTAGCCTTGTGATGCTATTTATTTATTTATTCTGCGCTAACAGGTAGGTATCTATTTATCTATCTTATATTTATGTAGCAATAAGTCTAATTGACTGTACCACGCGTGCTATAGCCATATCGCGATAAATAATGTTTCTGTTTGATCTGACGCGATACGATATGAACATTACGTGTAGCCATTACGGTATAATGTTAATATGTAAATTTCGTGCAGGCAATTATTTTTTAGTTTATGACGGGGAAGGAACAAACACAATGACTAATAAAATTGGTTCTTTGAAATGGATACCCACACAAACTACATGCAAAGTTGATAGAGTGTAGGGTCGGGTGACCAAAACCGCATGCTCAGTCATTGAGAACTACCTAGTTGTAAAATGATTAGGTTCTAGGTTAATTTTAAGTATAAGGAAACCCTAACAAGGAAACCCTAACAAATGTTTAGTCATCTTCTGACTTCATTAGTCGCTGAGTTATAATATATTTGTTCATAATATTTAAACTCGTCTTAAAATTATATGTATTTGAAATTAAATAATATTTTTTTACCTACCTGATGACTTATCATAGAATGTATGACCAATTAACAATTATCTTTTTTAAATTGTATTTAGGTTGGATTGATTTAATAGTTTAATTAATGAATCTACAAAACGGGGGCAATCAAAGCGAGCCTAATTTAGAAACATATCGCAATTAAGTACATAAACAACTCATAAACACGTGATTCAAACTCAAACATAAACTTTGTCCAATGATTGGTCTAAATATTGATATTATTGAACCAACAAAAGGCTTGTATTAAGTTTGAGTTTTGAGTAGGTACTTATCATTTACATTATTGTTAATTATTCTGTAACACATAAATTAATAATTTCAATACAGATCAATCACAGTCTTTTTATGTTCTTTTTTGAGGGTAGGTTCATAATTTAGGTTAGGTTTAATTCAGAAAGACTGACCTTAGAGCAACTACAGGTTGCTATTTCAGACTCAACCCCCCTGACTTGAGAAGTTAGAACAATTCGTCAATTTGACTCTGATAAAATATCATTCGGATCGTGTTTTTGCAATGGAGAAGATAATGACCTGATGATATTAGGGATCGGTTTAAAATTTGTTGTACCCACCAGCTGCTCCGCGTCTCTTAGTCTACTTACAACACCCTCTCTCCCTGCTGATAAAGACATACGCCCGTCGGCCCGTATTCACAAACATTACTATGAGGTCTTACAGTGCGCGTGGACGCACAGGGTGACACATGAACCCTGCATTCGATTTTCTGTTTCACCTAAACAAGCATACGAATACGGGCGATAGTTGGTTAAGTAAATATAGAGATACAGACCTCCTGTAAGACCCGCTTGAGCTGCAGCAGCAGGGTCTTGATATCGACCACGTCTTGCAGAAGCGTGGCCGGCGCGGGCGCAGGCGACGCGGTGCCATCGCTCGCAGCGTCCGACGGCGTCTGCGTGCGCGAGCGCTGCAGCAAGCGAGCTGTGCGTACTGGTAGGCTGGCCCTGGGGGAAAACGAAGATGTTAATATGATAAAACAATTATGCAAGTAGGCTTTTAAAAAGCACTTTTACACGTCCCAGGAATAACCCTACCACTGCTTTAGGACAATCAATGGGCCAGTGCTGAGAAGCGGCGCAAGAAACTCAGTCACTGATACAGTCAGTGATGACGCTAAAAAGGCTTCCACTCAGCATAATGCCGTATGCGTAGCACCACGACGCTGGTTTTCAGAGGTCGCCTGATTTCAGAGACATAATATGTGGCAAGACTCCGGTGAGAATAATACGGGAGTTGAAAAGTCACCAATGGGTTAAAAAGACAGTTGAAACCAGTCAATTGGGTACTAGACACCACAGTATGTAACACATACTTTTTATGAGCTGTCAAAAGTTGCAATCTCTTAAGGGCTGATTTTGCAACCGTCGGGTATATTTAGGCTGAACAATAACATTTTCATTTTGACTCATTCTCACACTGAAACTAATTCTTCAGAAAGTTATCCGAAAAAACAGATTTCAATCATAACTTTTGTATTTTGTGTATTTTGTAATTAGTTTGCCAACTCAATTAACACCTCTTTGTTGTTTTAACTACTAAAGGTCTAACTATACAGTAAAATGAAAAGTACATAACTCGATTTTCAGGGCTATATTGAACTAGTTATTGATTAATATTGATATAGGTATTTTAGGGCGGTCAAGCACGCGGGAAGCAGGGTCAGTCGTTGTAGAAAGGAATTAAGGGGCTGGGGCGCTGGGGGAAGCCTTTGTCCAGCAGTTGACGTCCTTCGTTTAGTCTGGGAGCCCGTCAAGAGGGATTTCGTGTAGTAACGACGTCACTTGTTTGCCAACTCAATTGACTATTGATTGATTTCAAAGGAAATACCGACCTTATTTTACAGTTAATTGAAAACTAATTAGGTAAAATTAAATGTTCTAGAGAAGTTTTGCCTTCGAATTTATTTATTTATTTATTTTATTGGTCTGCCAAAAATTTAATTACTTATTGGTTGATAGAGCTGGCCAACTGCTATTCGTTTATGTATCTAGTTATTTATCTTAACATTCGCAAAGTAAATACACATAAATACAGCTGTGCAGTAGAAATAAAAATTAAGTTGTTTGCCCCAAAAATTAACTGGGAATTTATGAATATTTTATATTGCCTGCTCTACATTTTATGGTTTTCTGGGAAAGTATAGGTAACATTTTAAATGATATCCACTAACTATAACTAAACAAACTAAACTACAACAAAGTTAAATTATAACGACTAACAGGCCTACCACGTCAGCTAACGCGCATACAATTTACATGCATATTTTCATTGCATGTCATACGATACTTAGACAAAAACTAAACTTAGTAATTGTTTCGTAGACAAATCCACGGTTAGATAAATAATACATCTGTGTTCTTGAAAAATATTATACCTACCTTTTTGAAGTCTGTGAGAGAAATCTAAGAAAGTAAATTAGATCAGTCAGAGGCAACGCAGCTAAGTTTTAAAGCATTGTTCTGTCAGTAGCAAGTAGAACTGTCTAAACACTAATATTAAGAGAAAATAACCCTGTCTGTCTGTCTGTCATGTTTTAACCGCTGAACCATTTTTTATGAGTTTTGGTACGTTAGAATAGAGATATCGAAGTGAATAGCAACCTTACAAAATATTAACCTTCATCATCATCATCATCATTTCAGCCATATGACGTCCACTGCTGATATTAGGCCTCCCCAATGATTTCCATTTCCAACTTTAAGGCCCAAAAATTTATCTTTCAGGCGTCGGCGTAAAGTGTAAATCCGCTAGCGCCATTGTATTTAGCATAGATTTAGCAGCTTTACACTAAGCCGGCGAAAAGTTATGACAAATGTCTTTATAAAGAACTAAATAATGGGGAACGTAAGCGATGTAGAGTTTCTATGACAGCCCAAAGCCGGGAGAAGCCGCTGTCAGAAGTTGGTAGCATTATAATGTATTACTTCCTAATGGAGCCTCAGCTCTTTATTAAATTACAGGAACGTCCTCAAAGGCGTGACGGTATAATCCATATGAATATCTGCATGACCTCGCCAAACCTTGTTAAGTAACCCGATTAGGTTTACGTAAGGAACACTTTTATTTTGCATCTATAACTGAAACAACCGATCGTCTTATATATTAACCCGTTAATGTAATATAGTTAATTTTTGATATATTTTCAGTAGGTAGGTACACACAATAAATATCATATTTTTTGATTTATTTATTTAAAACGCTAAATGCTCATGAAGCATTTTTCAAGTGAACATGTTTAAAAATGACATATTTTACAGTTTGTAAGCAAAACGAATTGGATTTGGAATAAGTTTTAGTTAGCAATTCATTTTCTTGTAAAGTATGCGTGTTCGCCTTGTTGGTTGTCCTAATAAATAAAATAGGTAGGTATAGGAACCGGACATAAATTCTGATTAATGCTGGTGATTAGTTCAAATCAAACAGCTACAGTATTAAGATAAGCAGACGTGTAATATAGAACAATATTCAAGTGACTCTACACCCAAGTGTAGATTCCACCCTAGTCGAATCTGCACTTTCAGTTTAGAATATTGAAATTCAGATAAGAAAGTTTGGCTCCATGTTTGATTTTCAATCGAATTTTCATCGTAGAAAGCGTCGTTTTATGACACAGACTCAAGACTATAACAATTCATTAGCACTTTTGTTTGCGGTAGTGTTTTGTTTCATGATAACAAAACTCGTTATGATTCACTTTCGGAAAGGAAATTTTGATGTATTGCTGATTTCATTTTTGTACGTAGAGCGGTGGGCGTGAGCGTGACACTCCCGAAGCAATTAATTAGCGAAAATAGGACGACGACATTTGCTGACACCAACCTTTTTAAATTACCCGAATTATTTTACAATTGTAATTTTACCATGATGGATTCTAAACTAAGGCTGCGTTCTGCGAATTTATTATTTAGGTGAATAACGAATGGATTAGTATAGATATTATATTCCGTGCGAGTCGGGTTTCTGATAGTATATTCATTAACAGGTAAACAGAATATTAGATGTTGCAGGTTCTAGAAGCTCATAACATCAGGTGCGATTGTGGTCAAATACCTGCCTTGTTATGCATAAAAAAATAAATAAAGATTGAATTTTAGATTGTAAGATTAGCTTTATTATCACAACCTGTCATTGTCGAAGAAACTTTTATGCCTTAAAGCTGCACTGAAATCTGAATGTATGTGATAATAAATGCACATATTTAGAAAACTTTCTGCTAGCACTGTAAAAGAACATAATATGTGGAACACTTTCTGTCAAAGCTAGAAAATAATATCCGAGGATCGGGCTTTGTGGCGTGCCTTGAGGAAAGCCTTTGTTCGACTGTGATCTGACGTGTACTGGTTAGGCATACCTAATGAATCATAGAGCTATTTAGTGCAAGCAATCATTTTAGTTATGACTTCATTTTATACACATAGTAGCAGGCTTATATTATAGCAGTGCCAGCATGTGAAATCGCCTCTGAAAAATTTCCCAATTTTCTTTTCAAATCGTACCTATCTAAATTAGGTACTCTTTGTGATGTAAACGCTATAGCTTCATTCCGCGCGGATTTCGGTTTGTCTCTGAAAGTTTATATCGCTCATTTCTGTACATTGAAATTCCTATTTTATACTAAAACAAACATTAATTACTTATCCTTAACATAGAAAAGTAAATATGTTTGGAAATAACAGTTATTTGTTCATAACTGGTTCAGTAGTTTAGGCGTGAAAACGTAACAAATAAATAAAGAGTTACTTTCGCAGTTAAAATACTAGATAGTAGTTAACGCATGCACACAGAGAATGTCAATTATAACATCATTAGACGGGTTAATTTTAATAAGTTGATAATGAATATTTGTATTAATTAGATAGTGCTAATTAAATACGGAATATGTTTTAGTAGCTCGGCATAATGCGCGTTATGTTTATGTTTTTTATCATACATGTTGCGGAATCGAGACACATTACTTTTATTTTCTGTATACAACACACAACTAATTGTTTCCTCTTTGAATTAAGCTGAATTTTATACGCAGTTAGTCTGCTAGTATAGTGACCTAACCGTGCGATCAAGCACTCTGCTCTAAGTTAAAATAAGAGGAATCTGCGACAAATATTGGTAATTTATATTAGCATTTTTTGAATTATAGTATAATGATTAATAATAACCTTCCTAAGGACTTAGCCGTGAGTACATAATGTAACTCATTAATAAACGTCGCGTTAAGACCCGTGTCTTAATATTTTAGTTTTATGTAATAAGAAAACCGTAAAAATCTCCATAGCTAATCAGTATCTAGCCAGTTCAGAAGTTGAAGCCAAACTAACCAAGCATGCAGCTGGGAAGGATAATTTATAATAATTAGCTTTGTAATGACTTTTTAATTGTTTTTATCAATTACTTGCACCTGAGGGTGTAAGTAGCTACATGTTTTTTTAACTGATATTTATTTTGTGTAATAAATATTGCTATAGTTATTTCGGAACTGAAATAGGCGTGTACTTAATATTGTACTGTCATGAGTATCTACCAGTTTTTATAAGTAATTATATTACGAAATTATAAGTCATTAGAGCGTGAAAGAAAAAGTCTGAAACGGAATAAATGTTTTAACCGCAGTAGCAACCAGAAAGTTATACGGAACTACGATCAATTTATTTATAAACATGGGTTGACTACGGCATCTACGAGGACTACTTATATTTATTGCGGAAAAATGAATATGAAAACTTTAGTTGTCAGTTTCTTTACGTTTGCAATAACATACATTCCATTACTATCGTTTTGAGTTTACACATGCACTTTAGTTTCAAGCTTCACATCCTAACATTGTGCATGCTAAGTAATGTAATATTTAATATTTTCGCTATCAGCAACTACTAAACTTATTTGCGTGCAATATGTTACTGTTTTGTAACTTAGTTTGCTTAGCTCGTTGTAAGCAAATTAGTTGCAT